CCAGCTGCATTGTTATTCCTGCATCCCGACTCAACTCACAGCAAACTTCTGCTGAGTCACAACAGGTTTGCTGTGTGTTTTGAGGCAGGTGGGGCTGTAGAGGAGGCGCTGCTGCGTTCATTTCACAGCGTCATTGCCAACATTCCCGGGAAACCAGCTGGAAAAGCCGTTCTGTAAAACAGAAGCGAACTGAACCGAGGGCTGCCATGCTAAATTAAGGGTGTTAAGCACTGCACTCCAGACCTGCATTGCTGTGTATCCTGTTCTATCAGCGGCAGGTACTCATTTCCAATACAACAGGCAAAGAGCATTAAGGGGGCAATATTTAGCTTTGCATTTGCTAAGGACTAAAAGCAGATCACGCATATTAACGGAATAACAGAGATAGAAGGGATCTTGGAGGACTTCTAGTTTAACTCCCCTGTGCCTATATCAGTGATGGTTAACCTTTTTCTCCTTGTGTGCCGAAATCTCTCTCTTGCACGTGACAGCACACAGTTGTGCCGACACCCAAAACGCATATGCCCCCCATGCATGTGTGCATGACTCCCCCTTGTGATCCCTCTGCCCATGCGCATGACCCCACTGTGCTCCTCTTGCACATGCACACAACCCACCTTCCACGCCCCGTTTTGAAGCCTCCTGGGACCAAAAACAGGTCACCGGGGGGGGGGCACCATACCTCCCTGCGAACCCCCATCCCCACACATGCATACACATCTCCTGCATTCATGGCAGAGACCCAAAAATCAGCTGGCTGACAAGAGGTGTGCATGCATGCATGGTGGAGCTGAGATGAATGATGGCTCGCGTGCCCGCAGTGAGGGCTCCGCGTGCTACGTGTGCCATAGGCTCGCCATCACAGGTAGTGATGGTGAACCTTTTCGGCACCAAGTTCCAAAAAGGGAGCACTTCGTCCAGGCCATGAACAGGAAGAGGAGCTACCCAGAGGGCATGTGCATGCCGGAAAATTAACTCCTGGTTTCCGGTGCACGCATGTGCACCAGCCAGCAAATCTTTCGGTTATTATCATGCATATGTATGTATCAATCAGCTGGCTGGCGCAAATGCTTATGCCAGAAAACAGACAACCAGCTCTTCTGGTTTCTGGCACTGCCACATACACAAAAGCCAGCCTATCATCATATGTGCATTCGCGCCAGAAACCCAGAAGAGGAATGGGTGATGCCATGCGTGCCAGGCAACATGACTCCATGTGCCACTTTGGGCAAGCATGCCATAGGTTCGCCATGATGGATCTAGGGCAGTGGCTCTCAACCTTCCCAATGCCGCGACCCTTTAATACAGTTCCCCATGTTGTGGTGGACCCCCAATCATAAAATTGGTGTCTCGGTTCCTAAGACCATCAAAAATACGTGTTTTCCGATGGTCTTAGGTGACCCCTGGGAAAGGGTCATTCGAAGGGTCATTCGAACCACTGATCTAGGGGGGAAACAGTAAAAATGCAACTCTTCAGCAAATAAAACAAAATGGTGCACAACAGAATGTCGAGTTAGAGCCAAGGTGGCGCAGTGGTTAGAGTGCAGTACTGCAGGCCACTTCAGCTGATTCCTATCTGCAGTTCGGCGGTTCAAATCTCACCGGCTCAAGGTTGACTCAGCCTTCCATCCTTCCGAGGTGGGTGAAATGAGGACCCAGACTGTGGGGCGATACATACTGACTCTGGAAACCGCTTAGAGAGGGCTGAAAGCCCTATGAAGCGGTATATAAGTCTAACTGCTATTGCTATTGCTATTGCTAT